CTTTTTTCCTCAGAATTCTGACTTTAATCTCAGAATTCAGACTTTTTTTTCTCACAATTCTGACTTTAATCTGAGAATTCTGACAGCTTACAAACATGTTACCAACAAGCTGGAGCCATGTCTCTTTTAGAGACTAAATTAAGTCTCTTGTTTTAATCACCTTCTCTTCCATTAATAAAATATCATCACCTCTCGAGCACGTAAAAAGTCGCCTAATTCCATAATTTTCCACCAATGTGTCACTGTTCCTCCCAAACAACTCACATCTTTGTCAGTGAAGCTGAGTGTTCCACATTTCTTCCTTCATGGTGCCCATCTACATTAAGATCCAGAATTATGAGATTAAAGTCAGAATTCTGAGTTTTTCCATATTAAACTGAAATAATATCTAATAATATTAAAAAATATATTAAAGAGACGCCGTTGGTTTAATGATACATGTCTTATTTTGTTACCTGGATGAGTTTATGTCCTTCTACTTTTCGGAGTATCGGAGTCAGAAAGATTCTTAAAATATATTGTGACATAATTTATTGTTAAAGCACATAAAATAGTTCTACTAATTCTTTTTACGCAACACTTTTCCACGTGTGTTTCCATTTGATTTTCTACACGACACTCAGTTCCGCACATCATCTTTTATTCACGCGCGTGAGCGCTCCTCCTCAGAGTCCAAAAATGACGTCACATTTTGCGATTCCCACGTAGGTCCACGCAGCCAGTGAGCTCCAGCTGAGATCCCGCACTGCTCGCTGCTTCCAGATGTGAGCGCAGAAACTCAGAGAAGCAACTGAATGAGTGGGACTTTCTGCGTGGGACTTTGGCTTCACATCTGTCTGTGACACAATAACTTGTGAAGCTTTTTTTCTTCTTTATTTGTTGCTGTTAAAAAGGGAATCTAACGTAGGTCTTTTATGTTATTTTAAGAGCTTTTTATTTTAACATCTTTAGGGTTGGATATATAAGCTTCTCTGTCCTCATTCTGGAACAATGACTAACTCCTTTTGGATTTGTCTTTATGTGGAATTAGGCTGTTTCGGAAAATAAGGTGGAACAACAAGAGCAATGGAGTTTTGTTTGCATGCTCAACTTTTTACTGTTGTTGTCTTTTGCTTTAAGGTAAGCAGATCATTTCAAGTAATCACTCAGTTTTCTGCATGCCAGGCTTTGAGAAACATTTGAGTTTTCTTTTATAGGTCTGTGCTCAGGTGGTGGCAAATGAAGCGCATTCAGATTTTGGTGAGTGTTTCTTATAAACATGATGTTCTGCTTTTGTTTTCTATTAGATCCGCAGATCAAATGACAACATCATGGTGGAGAAACATACAATAACTGGTTAAATCAGTGTGTTTCTATGGAGGGATGTTATTTGTTTAAGTCTCATTATTCAAATTAGTCTGCAGCATAAACAGCTTTTGCAGCTGTTTTTATTCATCATCATCAATCTCCTGATCCAACTAAGGTCCAAAGTTGGATGCCGGTGTAATAATAAACTCTGAGCAATGTCCTTTAGGGACACTCGTTTACCTGTGATCTGTCTGTCCAGGCTTGCAGGTGTTCACCACAGCTTCATGTTACTGGTCTCTTGATGCAGTGGATGGAATTCATGAGCTGTGGGACCAGATTGGAAGCAGACCTCCTAATGACAGCAACGGTGGAATAAGTATGAGCATATATGGTCGCCATGTTTCCATTAAAGTCCTGCCTAGAAAGCCTGTTTGTTCTTTAGTGTCACTCCAGCCACGGTTTAGTCTCCCACTCGGTTTTGTAGTTTTTATGGAATATGCAGCACCTTGCAAAAGTATTAAATCCCCTGAAACCTCATATTTTGGCACATTTTAACCTAAAACCTGTTTTTTTTTTTTTATGTATTAAGCCATAAATAAGTTTCATATAATTCTTACATTGGAAAAATGATCTAGAAATAAGTAAAAAAAAAAATCTTAAACTAAGTGTATTTACCTTTAATTTGACTGGGTAAATGAGATAGTTTGCCATTAAATGAGTTTTACCTCCTTAATCCAAGAAGAAATGCACTTATTTTAAGAAAAAAATATTTATCTAGATTTAGATTTTTTTAAATATATTCAGTCTGTTTAAACCACTTTTTCTTCAGCTACAGCGATAATTTATATGGAAGTTATGTTTCTCTTCCTTTGCACGTTTACAGACTGAACTGTTTGCCCACTTTACCTCCTTAAATCAATTAAATCTAAACAGATGGGGTGACAGAACCCTGCACAGTAATTTTAAAGTGTTATAAATTCTCTGTTTGATTAGGTCTGTTCTTTGTCAGTTTCAAGTCTTCTGTAACCTCTTGAAGCTTTATTTCTAGTATTATCATTTATTAAATAATTTTTGATCAATTAGAATATCATTGAGAATTTCCTCTACATTAGAAGCTCAATTCACAAGTTGACCTTTATATTTAGAACAAACAAACTGATCCTTTCAAGCCTTTATTGTTGTTCATTATTATGATTTTTCGATTAAACCTGTCAAAACACAGTAATTAAAATTAGATTCTGACATCAGACCCACATTTCGAACGCAGACATGTGGGCTTGATGAAATGTGTACTATATACTTTTTGAAATGCTGTAAATGTTTAGGAGGGATCGGGTATGGAAGGGAGCATGTTGTGTGGCCTCACTCTGTGTTTACCTTCACCAGCATCACTCTGTCTCATACCTGTACAGCACGTCCCTCCTGTTGTTCTCCTCTCACTGTTCTCTTGGTGGAAAATTATGGTTTTTGTCTTTTGTTTTTGTCCAGCTGTCAGAATCCACAACCACACTGTGCTCCCTTCTTCCCATAACTCTTCCTATGTGTATACCAATGACTCTGCCTACACTAACATTTCTGCAATAGTAGGTGAGAATCCATCACTTTGCTTTCACTTAGAGACCTTTTTGCATCACAAACTGCTGTAATCATTGCAAAACTTTTGGTTCTTCGTCTGTTTGTCCTTGCAGCTCAAAATAAAGACCTAACTGTGTAACATATGCCTTAGGCTTTGGTTAAAACATGTTTTTCTGAAATGATTTTGATTGGTTTAGATGAAAAAAGTGTGGAAAAACGTAAGGAAAGTAGTTTACCATCCATTTTAGCTCACTTTAAAAATGAGTTAAACAATTTTTACATCGAGTTCTTCACTGATTTTAAAATATCAGGTAATCTAATGTCTGTTCACTTTCCACTTCTATTGCAGACATTGTTGAAGGAGTTTTAAACAATGGCATATTTCTGGACAGGGATAATGGCGGCACTTTTCTCCACTTCAGAAACAACCACAACTCCTGCATCAGTGATCCTATACTGCGTGGTGTTGAGGGTAGGAGCAGTTTTACATGCACTTATATACATAAAAAATAAAACACAGGCCTTTTCTCACTTTCCCACATCAAACTAGAATAAACTTTTCATTTTTTAGGCCAGATTAATAAGTTATTTGTATTTGATAAACATCAGAGTAATGAGATACACCATTTTCTGGGGGGGGGATAATCATTTAATAATTTTTCTTAGCACTTCAAAACCTTACATATACATATAAGAACAGATCATAATGTGTTGGCTTCCCTGCCCAACTGCAGAAATATATTAAGGCAACACCTTTAAAACACATTTCCTCCCCCTTCTGACATGAAAAAAAAAGTCAAATAAAAATCTGCAAAGATATATATATATTAAAAAAAAATGGAACTCCACAGCTCTGGTTCCTCATTGAAGAGAATCTCCAGATCCCTGAAGGTGCATCATCTATGTTCAAATTTAAACAGCGTAGGAAAAGCCTTCATACCGCTATTGAACCAAACAGGTTCTACTCTCCAGAGGTTAACATGTTGAATGTGAAGTATGTGTATCAACCCAAGAACTTGTGAAAAGGCTGACTAAAGTATTCTAAATACCCCCAGTAAAAAAGTTAGATACCGTTTATTGAGGAAGAGGAGGAACAGGACAAAGAAAAAAGCAGCTTGCAGCTTAGAGATGCGTTCAGACAAAAGGTTTGGGCAAGAATTCTGTTTATTTTTTAATTCAATATGACAAAAAATGTCAAAATTTATAAAAAGCTGCAATGTGGAAAGTATGTCAGCTTGCTTAAAGGATACAAAATATATACATAACTGATCTAAAGAAAACTTTATTCAGATTTAATGTCAGACAAAACAAATGAATGAGATGCATCTTTTTTAAACTGTATAAAGACTATTATATAAAACAATATGTGTATATTATATGCAAATGTCATTATTTGGAAATGCGGATTATTAGTAATTTGTCCCAAAAATGTGTTCCATAGGTATCACCCTCACCTTTTTTTGGAAAAAACAAAAGGAGGATTCCAACTATGCAGTGGCGTCTGGAGCAAAAGTTATCTCCAATGACTTCTCAGTCTTTACAACCTCCGACAAGGGATTTGTGGAGCTTTACTCGAGAGACGACAAACACAGATGGAGAGCGGAAGTTCCTCTGTCAGGTACAGCAAACGCAGAGTTACCTCATAACGTTATTCATACACACCCAGCAGGAATTCATTTAATCTGAGCAAATCCTAAACTACACACTTTCATTGTTTTCATGGTTTTAACTGACACCATATGCTCCCACCGCTAACTTGGCAAGTCTTACTGTAAATCTTTTTTCCTGCAGCACAGAATTTGCATTTTATTCAAGATGCAGTCATTTCCTGAGTAAAATGAAATTATGCCTTGCTCTAAAAAACATTTAAATCCATAATGGAGAGTTGATGCTTTGTTAGCAAACTTAATAATTTTGCTTTCTTAACTGAAACAAAAAGCATATGGTTCAATTGTGAATCAAACTTTTACACTAAAAATAGGGTTTTTAAAGGTTCACAAAAAGTTGCAATTTTTTTTATATTTAATAAACCACATAATTCTATCAATATGGCAAATCCTAACATTAGTTAGTTGGATTAGATTGTTTTGCTCAGTCGGAAAAGTTTGATCATTGTCTACCTAAAAGAAATATACCAAAGCAAAGGGACACTTAATATAATCAAGTATATTTTAAGAGTTTCCACTGTAAAAAAATGTATTCATTTATGGAAATTTAAATAAAACAATACAAAATAATAAAATGATTGATAAAATTTGTTTTGATTAAAAATTTGATTGAATTAAAAGCCTGGATGGAGACAATTTCTTCTAAATATCTAACTTACATGAGATACTGCTTGTAGATGTAGCTGCTACCATTTAACAAAAATGTAAAGTAAATTTATTTATCATTTATTGTCCCATAATGGGTAAATTTACCTCTGCATTTAACCCTTCCCGTTGAGGACCAGTGGGCTGTCACTATGCGGCTTGAGGACCTAGAGTGCAGGCTGTGGGGATCGAACTGGGTACTTTTATCCTTTTTAGAGCACAAGCACACTGCTCTAACCACTAGGCCACAACATATTAGAAATAGTACTTTGGTACTTATTAATTACATTTAAACAACAACCTCCATCATGGTGGTGCAGAGCTAGTAATGTCAAAATCTATTGTCAAAATCAGTTCTTCCTTTTTAGAGTAAAATTGTTCTTTATCTGGTAGCTTAGGTTATATTTAAATAATAAATAGTTGAGTGTATGTTCACTGACTACAATTGATTACTTTCAGCATTCAGTTAATGTAGAAAAAACTGTGTTTACATTTTTGTAAGAAGATATGCTTTCATATTTCGTCTTACCTTGAATGAATAGAAGCCAACTTTAGTTTAAGTAAACATCAATTAAATCCAAAGAACTTCAATTGGTAGGAATCATTTACCTTATAGAATATAAAAAATATTCAAACTCAGTAAATGTTATTAAAAAATGCACAATTAAGTTCAACTTGATAAATAACAAAAAGTTATTTATTTATAAAGTAAACTAAATTATATAAAAAAGTCACTTTTTAATTTCAATTTCCATTCAATTTAGTTTATGTATATAGCGCCAATTCACAACACGTCATCTTACAGTTCATCAGATCATA